GTCCTTCTCGCCTCACCTCTGAGCGTCTAGTATCGACCAGATCCCCTTGGTCACTCCCCTGCGGCATCACTCTCACCAGACTGTGGTAGTCATTTGCTCCTCCGACTGTACACCTTGTCCAGCATGGCCGTAACTACATCTGCCCTATTGTGCATCAATATTCCGCCAAGCTGTGCAGAGCCATAAGGAATTTTGAGTCTCAACCTTGTTTAAATGCTTTGTAGTAATAATAATATTAGTCCAAAAGTGGAACAGCAACCAAAACATTCACCCGCAGCCTACATCCAGTGAACGCTAAGGAGAAGAAGACAACGACGATAGGCGCAGTCTTTATTATTATTATCGCGCGCACACACTCATCTTTCTGAATTAGAGTGACCGTGTAGAGTGTGTGCGTGGAATAACGTGTTACTTGTTCTAAAGATTCTCCTTTTATTGTAATGTTTACTGCTTACAGATAGAAGTGGATAACGGAGTTCATGTGCAGACGTCTTGATACGTCTTGCCACTGGACTTTAATTCACTTGGGCGAGAGAATGAGGTCGACGAATTGCGCAACAATTTATTTTTTAAATCAGAATTACCGCCCAAGTTATCCTTTCATCCATCCCTCAACCTTAATCACCAAGTTATCCTTTCATCCATCCCTCTTTATCCTTTCATCCATCCCTCTACCTTAATCATCAAGTTATCATTTTATCCATCCCTCAACCTTTATCACCAAGTTATCCTTTTATCCATTCCTCAGCTTTTATCACCAAGTTAACCTTTCATCCATCCTTCAGCCTTTATCACCAAGTTATCATTTCATCCATCCCTCTACCTTTATCACTTAGTTATCCATTCATCCATCCCTCAACCTTTATCACCAAGTTATCCTTTCATCCATCCCCCAACCTTTATCACAAAGTTATCCTTTCACCCATCCCTCAATCTTTATTACCGAGTTATCCTTTCATCCATCCCCCAACCTTTATCACCAAGTTATCTTTTAATCCATCCCTAACCTTTATCACCGAGTTATCCTTTCATCCATCCCCCAACCTTTATCACCAAGTTATCTTTTCATCCATCCCTAACCTTTATCACCGAGTTATCCTTTTATCCATCCCTCAACCTTTATCGCCGAGTTATCCTTTCATCTATCCCTCTACCTGTATCACTTAGTTATCCATTCATCCATCCCTCAACCTTTATCACAAAGTTATCCATTCATCCATTCTCAACCGTTATCACCAGGTTATCCTTTCATCCATCCCTCAACCTTTATCACTAAGTTATTCATTCACCCATCCCTCAACCTTTTATTACCAAGTTATCCTTTCATCCATCCCCCAACCTTTATCACAAAGTTATCCTTTCATCCATCCCTCAACCTTTATCACAAAGTTATCCTTTCATCCATCCCTCAACCTTTATCACTGAGTTATCCTTTCATCCATCCCTCAACCTTTATCACCAAGTTATCCTTTCATCCATCCCTCAACCTTTATCACCAAGTTATCCTTTCATCCACCCCTCAACGTTTATCAACAAGTTATCCTTTCATCCATTCCTCAACCGTTATCACCAAGTTATCCTTTCATCCATCCCTCAACCTTTATCACCAAGTTATCCTTTCCCCATCCCTTAATCTTTATCACCAAGTTATCCTTTCCCCATCCCTCAACCTTTATCACCAAGTTTTCCTTTCATCCATTACTCAACCTTTATCACCAGGTTATCCTTTCATTCACCCCTCAACCTTTATCACCAAGTTATCCTTTCACCCATCCCTTAACCTTTATCACCAAGTTATCCTTTCATCCATCCCTCAACCTTTATCACCAAGTTTTCCTTTCATCCATTACTCAACCTTTATCACCAGGTTATCCTTTCATTCACCCCTCAACCTTTATCACCAAGTTATCCTTTCACCCATCCCTCAACCTCTATCACCGAGTTATCCTTTCATCCATCCCTCAACCTTTATCACCAAGTTATCCTTTCACCCATCCCTCAACCTCTATCACCGAGTTATCCTTTCATCCATCCCTCAACCTTTATCACCGAGTTATCCTTTCATCCATCCCTCAACCTCTATCACCGAGTTATCCTTTCATCCATCCCTCAACCTCTATCACCGAGTTATCCTTTCATCCATCCCTCAACCTGTATCACCGAGTTATCCTTTCATCCATCCCTCAACCTCTATCACCGAGTTATCCTTTCATCCATCCCTCAACCTTTATCACCGAGTTATCCTTTCATCCATCCCTCAACCTCTATCACCGAGTTATCCTTTCATCCATCCCTCAACCTCTATCACCGAGTTATCCTTTCATCCATCCCTCAACCTCTATCACCGAGTTATCCTTTCATCCATCCCTCAACCTCTATCACCGAGTTATCCTTTCATCCATCCCTCAACCTCTATCACCGAGTTATCATTTCATCCATCCCTCAACCTCTATCACCGAGTTATCCTTTCATCCATCCCTCAACCTCTATCACCGAGTTATCCTTTCATCCATCCCTCAACCTCTATCACCGAGTCCTGTGGCGATGAGTGAGCGGCGAAGCGGCAGGCATGGATGCAAAGGGGGGAAAAAATACGAATATTTAACTATAAAAATGTCGATAGACAACCTCCACCATGAAAGCTGTCACCTAGCCACGACTACCATCGTCGTCACATTATCTGTTCTGTTTGTTAGAGAAATTAAAATGTTCAATGTTGAATTAAGAATCGACATCACAGCACTCGGGACATCCCCATAAGCGCTCCGTCCCCATCTTCAGCAGCAACCAAAAAGTTAAAATTTCGATGGTACCAGTAACTGTATTTCCGCCTCGCCTTTCCCCTGAGTGTCGAGCGTCGGCTTAGAGAAATTAAAGAGTAATTATTTGGAACAATGCGGTAACTGGAGCACGTTCTGCCTGTCTTCATCCTGCTTCTCCTGCTGGTTGAAATCACAAACAAATGAAGGTTAAAATGTTGAAAACATGTATCGTTCTTGTGACAACATCAGGGCATGAGTAATGCGGCATTCCGTAACCACTGAGGATACAGATAAGGATTTTTAACTTAAATTTTACGGGGAAATTCTTGTACTGTCATATCTTGAGAAAAGAAAAAGAGACATTGCAATTTTTTTTTTTTTTTTTTCAGATCTGAAAATCGAAGAAACTGGCTCGTAAATGGGCGCAAGTCTTTAAAACTGAAATCTTTTTATGGACATTTTAACTACCGAGGTAGCATAATGGCTAGAGGCTTGCCTGTCGGTCGATATGTCTTGAGTTCGAATCTAAACCAGTTGGATTTGAAAGAAAATGACATTGTCTGTCAGCTCGATGCATCCTGAAGTGGGTACCAGGAAATATTTTGTGCAGTAAAGGCGGTTGGCGTGATGTGGCATCGCGTAACCATGGTTCTGTAAAAAATTGAATTGCGTCATCTGCCTGATGTTCCAACTGGCACTGAGAGTTTCCTTTACTTTGTTAGTTGTTTTAAAGTGCCCGTTAGTTGTGTGGACCTTTACTTGACTCCGCATAGCCAACTCCACAACATCTTGGCTGTTTATGGGTTTACTAGGTAAGTTACATTTCAGTAGTTTGCTATTGTTTTTTGTGCGCTTCAAATCTTTGTTGAAACCAGCACAACGCACTCTGCTGCTAAATGGTTTGCAACTGGAATCTTCTTCTTCTTCTTTTTCTTCGTTCACCGGCTGTGAATTCCGCCGCAAGGTCCCTGTTAATCGTCCGTTTGAACTTTTGGCTTTTACCTGGACCTGAGTTTTGTGTGTACAACCGTTTTACTGGCTTTTGCCGTGCCCTGCCTCACGGGCAGATGTACTACGACTTCGAGGGAAGCAACTGGAATCGAGCCGGGTATTTCAGAATTACGAAGCTTGTCCGAAACGCCTAAATAACAGAAGTATTATGGTCTTTCTCTTGAAAGCTTGCCCCTCTGTAATAAAAGTGCTGTGGTTTAACTATGTAATGAATTCATTAGGGTTTAACTAGTAATGAACGCCCTATGGTTTAATCATGTAATGACTGGTTTAACTCTAATGAATGCTTTATGGTTTAACTAGTAATGATCGCCCTATGGTTTAACTCTGTATTGACTGTTGTTGAACTCTGTAATAAACTCACTATGGTTTTACTATTAATGAACACTTTATGATTAACTGTGTAATGAACGCGCTATGGTTTAACCCTGTAATGATTGCACTGTGATTTAACTATGTAATGAACGCACTATGGTTTACTCGATAATAAACGCACTGTGGTTTAACTTTGTAATGAATGCACTAAATTAAAACTCAATAATAAACGCACTGTGGTTTAATTCTGTAATGAATGCACTGTGATATAACTCAATAATAAACGCACAGTGGTTTAACTCTGTAATAAACACACTGTAATTTAACTGTGTAATGAACGCACTGTAGTTTAACTCTGTAATGAACGCACTATGCTTTAACTCTGTAGTGAATATAAACATATACTCGTATATCGGGATTTTAACTATATACGCTATCTCTTAGGAATTTTCGTCCTCAGTTGACAGAGAAAACCTGTACATTCCGTATTTTGTGAAACGCCGCCTTTGCCCGGGAAAAACCCCCCTAGATAACGTAACATTTGGAAGCTATAGTCTTCTTCGCATTCATAGGTTGTAAACTCAGCGGAAAGTTCTGGTAGTTCATCCACCTCTGGACTTTAGACTCTGTTACAGAACCTAAGTGTTGCGTGTACATCCGTTTTACAGATCTGTCTTATTTGTATGCAGACTATTAGTTCCTTACCTCTCAGGCAGATTGCACTCCAGAACTTCGATGCAAACAACCGGTTAGTCGACTTTTAGGACATGCTTGTTAAGGAGCCAGTGTGTCTTTTTTCTCTCTCTCTCCCCCCCCCCCCCCCCCCATCACAATGGGACCCTGGAACCCACCCGGGGAGAAAGCTGTAGTGTGTTGCATAGTTGTGACCACTGTTGTCTGCTCTTGTTTCAG